CGCTATTTGAAGTCGAACCTTTAGCTTCTGATATTGATTTAATAAATCAAACAGGTAGATAAAGCAAATTACAATACGCAAATTACATACATACATATACAATCATATATAGACAATCAAACGGCGTCTTTTACTAGTTGGGCTTCGCGGGTACATTGCTGTTAAAAAAACCGCACTTAAGGATTCAAAACAGGAAAAAATGGCTGCAGTGGGCAAAAACACATAAAGATTGGAGTGCTAAAGATTGGGAAAAGGTGCTGTGGAGTGACGAGTCGAAATTTGAAATTTTTGGCACAAAACGACGAGTTTATGTGCGAAGAAGGACGAGTGAAAAATTGCTAACGGATTGTGTTGTTCCAACAGTGAAGCATGGAGGTCAATCTGTAATGAGGTGGGGTTGTTTCGGCACAAATCTACATGGTGATTTGGTAGAAATTCAAAACATATTGAGGAAAATACAATATTTGAACATTCGTCGCGATCATGCAGTGCCGTCTAGAAGAAGATCAATGGGACAAAACTTTATATTTATGCAGGATAACGATCCTAAACACACTGTGAAAACTTGGAAAAACTTTTTAAAGGACTTAGAAAACAGTAATGAATGACAGATGATGACATGGCCCCCACAATCGCCCGATCTCAATCCGATTGAGAAATTATGGGATGAATTGGACAGAAGGGTAAGGAAAAGGTGCCCAAAATCAAAAAAAAAAGATCTATGGAAGAAGTTAGAAGACGCTTGGAAAGAAATTACTCGAGAAATTTTAAAAAAATTAACCAAAAGAATACCACTATTAGTTCAAGCGCTCATGCACGAGGCGGATATATCGACGAAAAGAGGATATAGGATTAGTTATATACCTTTCGTAAGATTTTTAACATATAATTTGTAGGATATATTTTTGACATTATATACATACAATAAACACCAATTTTATTTCATAATATAGGTCACTTCCTTCTATAAAATTGCCTACAACTCAATTTGTCTAACTCTCCGGTGACTTATGGACGGTAGTGTAGCTATCATAAAAACAATATCATCTCGTAAACCTCCAGTAACGAAAATAAAACAAAAATACATTCCTTGTTACCTACCTCTAAAATAAAAAATTCCACCCAATAAATTGTAAAACAGTACATTTTCAATTTTACCCCGGTTTCAAAAAGAAGGTTCCTCGTCACAGTTCCAATCCGTCCCGAGTAGAGTCCACCTCTCGAAAAGTGTCGATAGCAATTGTCCAGCGGGTTGACAAATGTTCCCGGTCGCTGCAGGTCCAGAACAGTGGATTCTTGTAATTTTAGATTACACTTGGCCAACCTCGGGGCTACGGTTAACGCATGGCCGAGCAACCCCCGTCGAGCATCACGGAGTATCTTGTCCAGAAGGGTTAGATTAGATACGTCGTTCACTTCAGGCCATATATCTGTTCGACCCCGTCTTTCCATCGCTATGTCGCATCGTGTGCACGCACACCTAAACCCCCCTCCCAAACAACGCTGTGTGCGTGTTTATTGACCATACGTGACACGTTGATCCGTGCATTGGTGGACGTGTGCGTGTGCCCAACAGTCATACAAAATTTCGGACAGTACAAACAGATTTCACATTTAGCTGATATAAAAAATTTAATTATAGGTTTAAAACTCCAACTAGAACTGAATTAACGTATAGTTTGAAGCTATACTTTGGTGCTATAAATTTGAACCATTGTGCAGTCATAGGTGGCAACGTGTATCATCGAGGATCATATCAATCAAGAACCGATGCAATCAGAGAACAGAGCAGTGCAGAATGCGTACAGTAGACAGCTCGTATCATCAGAAAGCCGAATAATTCGGAACAGGCGCAATCCAGTATCCTAGTAACCGAAAACCCTTTCAATTCAACAGTACATTCAGAACAAACTTGAAAAATCGGGAAACCCGATCGTTTTGAAGGTTGAACAGTTCAGAACCCGTTCACTTGCAAACCAGATCAATAGACAGCTAGAATTGTATACCTACTTCTTGTGTAGTCTAAGGAACTATTGGAAATGGGTTATGGAATGAAATAGTCTTTTAACTTTGTAATATACGATTTATTTACGGTCTCAGAGGAAACGTCTTTACTCTATTGAATCTTCTGAAGGACTGTTTTTGGACACCCAAAAGAAAGTTGGGGTCCCCTTATACCTAGAAACTGTTTACATTATGGTATGGCATTGTGCAGTGAGTGACTCGAAGACGGACACCAGATGCATCTGGTGGAAGTCTTAGTGCCTTTGTTTAAAATAACCCGGAGACATTTTTGTCCTCACTTGATTATTTCCATAGGGTGTTGTTAGAAATAATCCAACAGGAACCGTTTCAATCGGAAACCTATACAATCGAGAAAAAGTTTAAAATTCATACATTTCAACATTTTTATAATCTTAACCCTAAAGATTACACCCTAACCTATAGGGTGTTCGAATTATTAATCCAGGCTCTCTGTATTAAACCGTGTCCAACTGATTTCACATGCACAGCGAGTGTTCACCAAATTGCCCAAATAATGTTACACCTTTTAAAAAGTAATTACGTCACTCTTAATTTTCGTTTTCGAATGACTTCAGGAATCACCCCCTCAATTTAGTACTGAAGGTGACCGAACACGCTGTAACAACGAGTTAGACATGTGACACAAGTGATCGTGAAAATGCGGCAAAAACATTAAATTAGTAACAATGTTAATTCTAACTTTTGGTGTTGACTTATAAGACTGAGATTTACCGAGTGTAAATAACGTTCATTTTAGCTTTTCTGAGCTGCCGTGGTATTAAAACAGCGAATAATTGACACGCGCTGTAGTTGCTGCACCGAAACGATTTTCGTTGGTCGGTGCTTCTCGCTACGCTGCACGACAAATTAATGTTGTGCAGCAGATTATTATTGTTAGTAGACTCTAAGCGAAGATTTCCGTGGTTGTTTCGATATTTTCGTTTGAAAACCTAATTGAAACGCGGTTTAAACTAAATAGAAACCTTTCTCTTGCACGAAGAGCCACGTGTGCCTTCACTTTATTGTCTCACTAACTGAGGCAACACCTTTGCTCACTGTCACCTGGTGTTACCTTGATTCCGATCACTGACTCTATGTGATGGACTTTTTTGATGTTTGTATTCGCGTATATGTACGATATACGGTCGGATACTGGTCTAAGATTCACACTGATTCTTTTACTGGTCCCTTTGTACTGGTTCGTTGTACTAATGTTCTTAATATTTATACTTCTCAGAATGCCAAAGCAAAGCGGTAATTGGTGGATTGATTTTGGTGGGAGACGAAACTCCAAATCGTTCCGATTGGTGCGGGTGCAGCTACAACTTTTCCCAAATTTCGAAGGAAAGGGAAAGCGCGGTAGTGCGCTAGTGGGAGAAAGAGCCCAAAGGTCACGGGACCTGATTCGAGGCAGGTAGGCTACCACGAGGATTCGTAGTGTCCCGCGGTGTCGAAAATCATAAAGAAAGGCTTTATGGCAAGGTGTTAACGAGCACGAAACTAGGATGCTCTAATCCATGTCGTGAACAACCTTATTGTGTCACTGAGCGTTAATCCTCTCAATTGTGACAATGCTTGAATGTCGAACAATGTTCTCATTAGGAGAAAAGGAATACTTTGGCAATCTGAAGAAGCAGAGAAATATAATAGCATGTATATTCCGTCGGATGGACGGAACACGCGCATAACCTGCTAAAAAATCGGAGGGTTGAAAGACTAATATTTACAAGTCGTCCCCATGCGCCTTTGAAGTGCAAATGGTTCAATTAAATGAATTAGTTACACAGGCATATTACTTTCATTATACAGGGTGAATCACGTAACATGATCACCTTGAATTATTCTCTCTTTAGTGCATGGATCGAAATTTTCTTCTTCAAGCTCAGCTGCAATTCTTTATCGATGAACCTATAATTTTCTTTACGGATGTTGAAACAATGTTCAAAATGGCGCCCTTCGGTTGTTATAAATATTTCTTTCTATGACATCTGTATTTATTTTAAAGAAAACTGAAGGTGACTGAAAGCTTTGAAAAAAAAAAAAAAAACAACTGATAGAAAATATACTATCGTCGTTTTGAAGAACTCATATTATGCAGCAGACGTTGTACGAGACAATGTTTCAGACAAAAGTTGCATGGTATCTAGGGGGACGTACAGTGCTCTAATCTGTTTTTTATTACCTTGCTTTCTTATTAGGGTCACATTCAGTTTTTTAAATGGAATGTCTAATATTTTTTTTCGAATTCGGATAAATCGCCAAATTTTGCGTAAAAAAGTGTTATTACAAAGTGGGACTTAAAACGAATAATTACTGAGATATCTTCAAATTAATAATCTTCCATTAGGAAATACCCAGTCCCAAGTCCCACTTTGTGTAATACTTTTTTACGCAAAATTTGATGATTTATCCGAATTCGAAAAGAAATATTAGACATTCCATTTAAAAAACTGAAGGTGACCCTCATATCTCAATAAAAAAGCAAGGTAATAAAAAACAGATTAGAGCACTGTATGTCCCCCTAGATACCATGCAACTTTTGTTCGAAACATTTTTTCGTACAATGAATACCTTACGAGTTATTTGAGGTCGTCATGTTAGGAGACTCACACTGTATACTAAATAAATGTGATACCTCGATTCGTGATTGTGCATAAATCGAAAAACAAAGTTTGCATAGTTTAATTAACCCAATTTTTCTTTCCTTATGACAAGAAAAATTACTTATTTTTTATGGAAGAATTGGCTGGTAGTAATGTAACAGTACAAACATAGAATGTAATAGTATAGCAATAAACAAATAAAATGAAACTTATAAAATGTAGATACATAAATGGATATATAAGTTCCGTACAGAGGATTAAAGAAACAAAGTCGTATAAGCACATGCCTACATATAAGTGGTTAACGTAGCAATTTTTTAACCATTATTGCAGCAGTCCTTTTTTCATGAATTTTCTTTGGTCTTTTTATAGCCATCACCGAGGCCGGAAAAGGTTGACCGCGTGGTAATTGATGGCCACGTGATACCCAACCACGTCCTCTTCACAATTCCGACACCTGATAAAGTACCCTACGAGACTCTTGCGTTCACTGATAACGTCAAGGTTACAGTTAGCTTCCTCAAGGAAAATGATAAAGGTAAGCACCATTTTAGAAGCATGAACAGGGTTAAAGCTTAATTAATACAGTTTAAGTATTATAATTTGATCGCAACAGAATCTTTATTATTCGAACTAATAGAAGGGCTTTGTAGCTGAAATAAAGAATAATGTTACTTATCGCTGTGTTTTAATAAAAGTCGAAAATAAAGAATAACGTCAGCTCAGTATTTTCAATAATTTGTTTACTAAATATCGTAACTCAGCTGATCATCAGAAGTCTGCGATATCTAAAATTCTACTGTCCTTGTCGTTACTATTTTAACATTTTTGAACTATTTTGTAAGAATTATTCGATTTTAATACATTTGTGCTTGAAGATTTTCGGAACAATTAAAAGTGAACCGAACTTTAGAAGCTAAAATAACTCCGTAAAGTTCCTTGCTCTGCACATATATGATATTAGTGCCTGTCAGAAACCGTGAAATTTCCCCTGAAAAACTTTATTTCCATATCCAGCTTCTACGATAACGTCAGAGGTGTGAAACTTTGGAGAGTAGTTTCGTCCCTTAAACTTGAATTATCATAAAAAAAAATTCATGTCCTTGCTCTTAATTCATCTACGATCGTACAAACTTTGATAAAAGTCTGTGCATTAAACGTTAAATTCTAACTGTCATAGTACCATGTTTCTGTCACATTTCACTCTCATCAGATTCACATTAATTACTTTCATTTCATATAAAGTAGAGCGCAGTTCTGCAAACAGAAGCAACGAATCAAGCGATCGATTAATCAGAATTTTGACTAATGAAGATTCCACCGTACACATACTTTGCTTTTAACATCGAGAAATTTTACATTTGACTCTGTCGGCACTCCTAAATTTCGCGAATTATAGTGAATAAAAAAACACCTTCTGTCTAGACAGATTTAGGTCACAGTGTAGGTATTGAAACTTCTAGCTCTCGGGCAGTCGATATCCCGTCTTCATTTCGCTAATAACTATGTAATTGCTTAACTCTTCTGGCAGGACCTTGTATGAAATAAAGTAAGCAAATACAGCGGAAACTGCATCATTAACGCGAATCAAACAAAGTGAGAGCCTGGCTGGCCGTTAAACCGTCCAGGGATTATTTAACAAGGAATTAATCTCGTCGTTTCATTTCGTAATCGATTTCAGGATACTTGACCGTTCTTTTCGTGTCGGCATAATATATCGTTCAACGGTTAATTGAAAATGTTATTTTCAGTTTACGTCAAATCCAATACAATTATGGGCGACGCGGGTCATCCGGCTGGAGTCGTGTTAGCAGAAATAATTAAAGCGAATATTCCAGTGCGCAACGGCGTTGTCCACTTGATTCAACGACCTCTTATGGTCGTCGACACCACGGTGAAGGACTTCCTCGAGGTCAGTGCTTAACTAGTCACTTTTTCTATCCTTTTTCTACCCTTTCTTTTAACTGATTAGTGGTAGACATACACAGCGGTAACCGATCTCTTGAAGGATCGAACTGGCTGTGTGAATCGTACGACGATAACGTGTCTTACTACCGCATTATTCATCATCTATTCATCTCATCCCATACTCTGCCGTTAATAATGACAGTTTCTTCTGATGGGAATACGTTGAAGTCCGCCCGGTTGCAAACCAATTTGTCGCGCGAATCAAGCACTATCTCGACAGGTACAAGCTCGAAAGGCGATCTTCTGTTTGGCAAGATTGATTAACACGTTGAGCGCCACGCGAATTCTTAAGGAAATCCCCACACGTGCTGCTTAGAAGCGCACTACTAACATGTTTGAAATTTACTCGATACAGATGTGTAAATATATCAGGGCCATTGTTTCTTATCGCAGTAGAAGATATTTACGTTTAGAATGAAATGCTTATAGACATTCATTCAACATGTTATGCGCCAAGTTTTAGTTTTATATCATATTTTACACTGTCAGTCACCGGTGGCTGACGCAGCCCAAACGGAAAGTTCAGTGTCAGTCACCGGTGACTGACGTGGCACTCAACGTGTTAAAAGAAAAGTGTCTTAATATTCATGAGAAACTTTTCACACGTTTAACAATATAATTCTCTCTCTTTCTTGGAACACTTATTTACTAAGAAAACAATTTCATTTTGTCTTAACTTTCACGAGAAAATATGCGACCGATTACTTAGCAAATGAATTTTTCAAGAGAGAGAAAATGAGTGAAACTACTATCAGAAGTAAGGTTATATTATTTTTTGTAATACCAGGAAGTACATTACGATTAAGTGAAACACATTGAAACAACGAGCTCTTCTTATTTTTCTATTCGTTTTAGAATGAATAGAAAATGCAAAGAGAGATCTCGATTATATGTAATAATAGCCCATGCATAATGTGATTCTGAATATGTATATTGTAAAATTGTAAACTTTGTTAAAATCATTGTTAATAATTTAACAATTTCCGTTCAATGCTGTAACGCAGTTAGACGAAATGAAACCGTTGATCATTCATTAGCCGCACGAGAGCCACTCTGATACGAATTTAATGTAAAATATGAAACTTGATCAAATGTACGATACATGTATATTATCGTAAACCGCAAAATTCTGCTGGTACTAAATTGCATCGAAGAATTTCAGGACGATCGCGGAAATTTTACAGAGACGGAAGGATTACAAGAGATTGGTCTTGATTGTTCGATACGTCGAACCGGACAAAGCATACTTCTTCCAGAATTTCACGGCGAAATTTTGAACGAAGAAGTTGTTCAAGGTGTTAGTTTATAGTGACTTTGCAATGTATTTACCGTATTGTGCCGTCAAAGCTGGCAGACTCGCGGAAGAATGACGGTGAGTTTCCTTATTGTCGAGGACGTTATTTTGCGAGTTCCTTTTGATATCTGTATGAAAGCTCTCTTAAACTGCCTGTGGTCGAAACGTTGGTATTCTTCGTTTCTCCCTTTCGCGTTTCAAAAGCCTTCGATCTCAATGGATTTGGCTTTGTTCGGAACAGCCTGGGGCTTTCTGGCCATGTCGAGACGTTAAAAGTTTAATCACCTATCAATAATTTAGATTTCTCGGCGGTATAATTTACTCCGCTCAGACGTATATCTCTACACGGAGTGTTCGTGGCTATTGTAGAGCGGAGCTTCGAAACTTTACGAGTACCCGAAACAATCGTAATACAGTTGATGCTCTTGATCAAATGTATTACCTACCTTCGCTGCTCTAACTCAGGATACATTTTTTCCAGTTGTAGTTTCATACAGTCGGATTTCGTGGTGACATTTCAAACGAGGCAACCATTAATAAATTGCCTTTACTTTACAAGTTGTAATAGAGTGAGTTGAATCAAATGGTTCTTACGAATAATGTAGTAAACTAGTTTAATACAGTCAAGGACAGAAATATGTGGACACCCTTTAAAGCAGAATAGCTTTTTTTTAAAATTAGATCAAACAGCTTAAGCTTTTTGAGAAGTTAGAAGGATTAGTTTACTAGATGACGTGTGAAAAGATTTTGAAAAACCTGCAATTAGTCGGAATCGCGAAGAAAATAGCGAAGGTCGCTTTTTATCTGAGTTCGCAATGAAAATTAAAAGATTCCTTTTGTAGATCTATGCCAATTATACGCATGCTGAAAATTTCATCGAAATCGGTGGATGGAGAAACAAGCTACAGGCACCGAAAGATGTAAGAATCTTCAGAAAGTCGTGAAATAGTGCGATTTGCACAATCTTTAATCGTTTGTAGCTCATAGCAACATCAACCGATTTCGATGAAATTTTCAGCGTGTGTATAATTCACATAGATCTACAAAACGTATCTTTTAACTTTTCATTGCGATAAAACACGCCCGGATAAAAAATTTGTAAACAGTGACCTTTACAATTTTCTTCGCGATTTCCACAAATTGCAATTTTATCAAAATTTTTTCACGTCATCTAGTAAACTAATCCTTCGAACTTCTCAAAGAAACTCAAGTCGGTTGGACCAATTTGAAAAAAGTTACTCTATTTCGAAGGGTGTCCACATATTTCTGTCCTTGACTGTAAGTGCAGTTAAGATTAATAGGAACACTTTACGAAAGTTTCATTATTTTCTCTTCACATAAGCTCAGATTGTACAGAATAAAAATTTCTTTTGCAAAATATAGTACGTATAATATTTATAGAATTTTTTAAATTTCCCGTGAAAAATGACGAAGGAAATTTTGTCTTTTTCACAATTAACAATTACTTCAAACTGTATACTCAGAATAATGCTATTAACGAGAACTTGTAGAAAAGTGCACATTAAAAATCGAGCAACAGCGATCTGTAATTAATTTTTGTTCTTAAAATAGGAAAGAATTCAAAGTATATCCATCATAATATCGTTCGTTCAATAAACCCTTTAATGCTTGGAGAAAAATTCAAGCTCGAGTATACAACGAGCCCGTTTTTTTTTTTTCGTGTCCGAGAAAAGCCAATATCGGTCAATAATGGAACCGCCCGATGTGAAATCTCGCCTAACAAGAATTCCCATGACAAATGCTTGTGTACACACGCGCGTGTACTAGCTAGGATTTCGGAGTAACAGTCCATCAAATTTCGTGCAATAACGATTACCCCATTCAGTATGACTGATGTGGCTTTCGTGGCTACGTAACATGTGTCAAAATATATGTATACAACCGTCGCAACTGGCAGTGATTACACGTTCACGTTGAATTACATCGTATCTATAGAGCGGCAAGATCCTTTGACGTTGCACCCGTGCCATATCACGTTCAAAGTGTACGTACGTATCGGAACCGGGAATACTAATGTTTCTCCAATGCATCGTGTACTCTGAATTCACAATAGACGTCACGGCGAAAATGAAACGCCTTTGGATCAATTTTGATACCATCACCCGTCGTAAATTTTCATCGTATTCTTTATTATATTTGGTTCAATTAGTTGTTTTATATAAATGTTACCCTTGCTCTTCCGCAGTAATAACTGTTTAGCGATTATTCTTGTGTATAAAGATATACGTACAAATTTTGCGTATTTTTATTTAAACATTGTGTTAATGCCCGTGGTGGTGGCGATGAACTTTCGAGCCTTGTAGATGTTTGCACGATGTTGTGCCGTCTAGATACTGGTTCGAAGGACCACCCAAATGATTGGGACTTGTAAAAACTGATCTAGACGGCTAACGAAAAGTATACTGTCAGTCGCCGGTGACTGACATGGCGTTTAACGTGTTAACGATTGCATTTGCCAATCAGCGTGTCTAATATCGTCTTTGCCGCCCTTCCAGTGCGCCCTTAGCGCGCTATCACCTTGGAAGGGTGGGAGACGGTCGCGTGGGGTGGGCGGAAGGTCCCAAAAATCTGGAATTTCCTCCGGGTGACTAATCGGCAAGCGGACCGTTACATACAGATGTGCCGTTCGGAAATTCGTGGTTTATGGTATGTTCGTAGGCTATTGAGCGCGAGGGACACAAATTACTAAAAATCTAGCAAAGTAATTCTAATGACCCTCGCAGGATGTAATTAGACTCGTGCAAGCAATAAACGAAAATCCTGAACTCAAAAATAACCGTTCCCGGTCGATCGTGCCATAAACCGTTTCTACAAAAAACCTAACACACTGCAATTGGTAATTTGAAAAATTTGTTTGCTTGACGACGATATCGCTTTTACGCTTGACATTCTATTACGACATTTTGAAATGGGATTTCGAGGTTATTTGCTTCCATAAATTCTGTTACGGTGTTTATGGCAGTCATATCGATCTTTTTGTTCGTGTAAAATTGAACGACGGGGTTATTCGTGTCTGAATTGATCTTTATTCCATGCTGCCTCTGAGATTTGTCTTATTTGTCTGTACACGAATTTGAAAGAAACTTTTAGAGTTCAGCCGGAAGAGAATCAGGTTGACTCGATTTAAAGCTAAATTAAGTTTCGGTATTTTTACCTGTTAGTTAAGACCGTTAGTTAATTTGTGTCTTGAACTCAAACACAAGACTGATAGAATACTAAAAAATTACGAGAACCCAACTTTCGAAGGAAAGAAGCTAATTCGGCTCTCAAATATTTTTCTTGATAATATGAACAGTTAAAAGTGTAGAAACAGAATATTTTTCTGAACAAAGACTTTATAATTTTCAGGAAGTAATCGTGTATAATTAGCAGAATCATAAGTTCCTTTATCTTTCCTTCACAGTTATTTTATATCTCACATATAAAACATAATTCGGTTTAAAAATGCTGTTATGACTTTGAACCGTTGAGAAAATATTCATTCAGTTTTGAACAAGATTGTCTTAAAAAAGTTGTACCTATATTGAAATTCCCCGAATAGTTCCATGCTTTGTTTCTTTTTCTTTTTTTATTTAATACGAATAGCCACCGTACAACGAAATTCATTTGACAGCATTCTTGTTTATGACATTTTTTTTCAA